TGTGTGCCTTGTTGATTTCAGCTTTTGAAATATTGAGGGTTCTTTTTTTCTCTTCCAGCACACAATGGGGTTTATCTTCTTATGATTACGTGGGTTTGTGCAATTTGTTTATTACTTTGCCTGTGTGTGCATAAATGTAGAGTAAGACCACACACAGAGCAAAGGGTTGCTGGAACTTAATCATCATTGGTTGAGGGAGGGTGTTTAAACCTTATTTGGGACCGCGGCGTCGTACATTTCCATAGATACCACGAAAATTCCAGAGTCAAAACTAAAAGCTTATCTCGCTAATGCGGAAGAATTGGAGTTTATTGCTGCGATAACGTCTTTATGCAATGTGGATTCCACTATATGGGCTGATAAAGCTTTGGAGAAGGTGAGTGTAGTTGACCTAGGCACAGGACAGTTTCTTTCTTTCGTTTTAGAAGATGAAGGCGTGGCTGTAACCGTGATGAGGACGGCTCGAGGTTATGTTTGGGCTGGTTTTGCGGATGGTTTTTTTGCGCGTTTTTTCAATGCGCTAAACAACGGGCTAGCGTTTGGGGAAAAAACCCATAAAAATTGCATCACTGACATTACTGTATCTCCGAACTCTGACACAATGTATTTTTCTTCAGTGGAGTCTTTTGTGTGTTATAGTAACACATTTTTATTTACCACTGAAACTCCTCAAGTGCTTGCTAAATGCGCTGGGGCAGTGCGTTCATTAGTTCTCTTTTCTGATCTCCTGTTTTCTGGTGGTGATGACGCAAAAATACTTTGATGGGATACGGTTTCCAAGGAACGTAAAAATGTTTTAGCAGCCCATTCTGCACCTGTTCTTACCCTGACTGTGTGTAATAATTTACTCTGGAGCGGTTACAAAGATGGTGTTGTATGTATATGGAGTTTACTTTGACGTGGATGGGGGCTCGAAAGAGTGCATTCATATAATTACAAATCCTCATGAAGGCCCTGTAACAATTCTGAAGACCGTGGGATTAAAGGGTTGCTCTGTGTCGACAAGTCAGATTTACGTTTGGAACTCCGCTTCTTTTGAATTAGAGGTGCATTGTCGATTGCCTAAAGAGCACCAATGACCGTTTTAACTTCATGGAGGTTGTGTCTCAAGCAGTTTGTGGCAATACATGGATGGGTTATAGGAATACTGGGGGTATTACTGTCGTTCAAAGTGATAACATTCTGCCCTTGTCGAATCGGCATCTGTGTTTTGTGGGTGGTGGCAGCGACACAAATGATAAGGATCAGCTTATTGATCAGCTGATAGAGTCTCAAAAAATTATTAACGGCCGAGGTTCAAACCCTACGAGCGCAAATTGCGTCATTGATGGCCCAAAATTATCAAAAAGGGATTGCCGGCGGGGACAAGATGGAGACTAATAACACAACGGAAAACCCTACTTCGTTGAATGCCCTTCCAGCTTCTATTCCTTTCAGTTGTAATGAAATTGTGAATGACGCATCTGATTTGGCCTCAGCGGTGACAGTTAGTGACTGTCATAGTTTAAGCAATACCATTTTTCCTATTGAAACAACCACTTATGCAAGACTCACATCTTCTATTACTCGATAAGTTGTGGTTGATGCACATGTGCTATTTTAAAGGCTAATTTACCTCCGTGAACAGGTCGATAAGCTTCTGGGGTTGAGTCAAGTACTCTACGAAAATACCTGGTTGCATTTTACTAAGAAAAGTGGAATAACACCTTTTCCTACCGGTTTTATTACCCTTGCTGAGCTCACCGAGAAGGGACTTGCTGCGTTAAAGAATATCTGCGGCAGATCTGATCCACTCTTTATGATTCTGGCCCCAAACTCTATAAACGAGGCGGCGTGATTTGTGAATTTATTGCTAGACTCACCTCTAGGCTGCGTGGATACCGTTATGTGACTTCTTCGGCTTCACCGGAAAACGGGCTTTTAATAAACACTTTTATTAGCAGTACCCATGCAGCGGGTAAGAGACGAAGGAAGCCGTTACTGTCCAAAGGCAGAGCTGGATGAAGTTGGCTACGCGCCATTCTCATTTTATCTACAAAACATTATCGTTGCTGTGATGGTGGGGGTACGGAGAATGTCTCAAAGCGATCAATCGCAAGTCTCAAATGAAAGGGTGACTCTTATAGAAGTGGATGCTGAGGGGTTTCAGGCGAGTAAGGGCGTTGAAGCGGGGCAAGCCAGAATATCGCATAGGACAAACGAAAATGATGATAACCAAAAGTTCATTGCTTCTTCTTTTGCTGCATCTGTCTCTTCTTCGGCCAAGCAGGCTGTTCCAGTGGATCTTTAAGGGCCGAAATCTGTTGGGGGCTATGACGCTGGAAGAAATGCGAGTGTAATGGAGCGACGACATAGGTTAAAACGACAATTGGTAGAGTATGTTGCCCTTCATTCATCTAACCGAGTTAAGGCGTGTGCTGAGGACCTCCTGCCCTTCACCTACCCAGATGAAGCCGCTGGGGTCGAAAACGAAATAGAATCGCGCAGTACAATGTCTTGTCAGCTTCTGACACGAGTGTGTAGACTTGTAGGGAAAATACAGACCGGGTCGCAATATCAAAAGACGTTGACTTGCGTTTCTGCAGCTACTGATGACACTCATAAAAGGAACCAGGGAGATAGCGTTCCTCAACAGGTTCCAGGTTTGGTCTCCTTGATTCACCGGATGCAGGATAAATAACGTACTTGCGCAAGAACCCATTATTCAGTGCCTTTTGGAGGAGGGTGGACGCATTGCACTTCAGTATGGGCGACTTATGGAGACACTAGTGCGGCGGCCCAAGCCATCAGTGCGTCCTTCCATTTTCGGGGGACGTGCATCGGGGTGACGTAAGGACCAGTCCCCTGCTTTGTTGGACTCATTGAATGAGTATAGTATACTCCTTGAAAAAGCTCATACAGTGGAAAGCTTTCCCCCCCCCCTTTTTTTTTTGCGACCAGACGTCACCGTGAAGTGAAGTGAACTGGAGGACCCAGACACACACGTGCGCAACCTCGTCGGCATGAACAGCAACGTCAAAGAAACTTAAGCGGTTTTAAATGTTTAGAGTTGCATATAATTTGCATTTATTTCTTTGTTTTGGCTTGCGAAATCTTTTCCCGCCGCCATAGCATGTCAATGGCGGGAGCCAAGACTGCAAGACAAAATGCCCTTGTTTTTCCTTTTTACTTTTTCTTTTTTTTCTTTTTTTCGTTTACTCCCTTCTCTGAGTTCCACTGCAGCCTCCTTTAGCCACATATTTGCCGTTGCGCAGCCGTTTTTCATTTCTGCCAGATTCAGACAGAAGCATATATAATTTTATATAAATATGTATGCAAGGATGATGCGTGCCGTTCACGTCGCGTTCTTTTTGTGTTTGCTTCTAATTACACAGCCAGCAGTGGGGAGAATCGACGTCGCGCGTCGTCCAGCAGGCTCCTACTGCGGGGATTACCTTGGCGTGGTCAAGGGACGCATCTCCACCGGCGCAGCTCGTGACACGTTTGATATCTGGCTTGACGCCTTTGGCGACAAGTACAGCTGCAAAAAAGAAAAATACACCTTTGACGAGCGCACCAACCAGATGACGGTCGTTGGCGCAACGGACCCCAAAGACTGCCTGGGAAAAATTTTGATCAAAAACGGGCTCTCACTGACGGTGTCGTATTCCCCGAAGGAGGACGTCCTTGACCTGGACCTGGGCATCGTCAGGCTCCAGCTCACGGCGTGCGCGTGAGCAGCACCGGTCGAGTGGCGACGCCACAGGAGCCGACGAGGAACA